GAATATATCCAAATATTCCTCTTTAAAATAACATTTAAAAATCCCTCATTAGAATAACCAAATATTAACAGGTTAAACTGATTAGGAAGACAAATCAAGTGGAACCACTCCTGATATCAGGATGATCGGGTATTAAAATGTAGCTTACAAAAGCAGAAATCTGCTAAAATTATTTAATCCTCAGTTTAATGTGATGGCTCCCATAAGACTCAAGAGAAAAGGTAGTTTTATATTTATGTAAGGAACCATTTTATCCTTTTAAAGACATTTTTCAGGGGRAAAGCAGTTCAGTGACACTCAAGTTGATTCAGTATTAAAGAAAATATTTTTAGTTTATTGATCAATTTRCTGTTGAGATCTCCCTGATCAACTGTTTCAGGTGTTATTCTGACACTCAGCACTTTTCTACCAGCCAGAATCAGCACTTTTGGGTCTTGTTATAATGAAAACTAAAAAGAGAAACATGCTCAAGATTGTTGTTTTTGTTTTGAAGTCAAGTARTTTTGAAAAAAGTTGTCTAAGAACCAATAATTGTGTCTTTTTTAGTGTTTTTAATGCTTTATTCTAACACCAGTTGTAATGACAGAGCAACAAATAAACTTCTGGTTTAGCTCTTACCGTTCCTGTGAGTCTTCATGTGACCTTTGAGGCTGCTCTTCTGATTGAAACACCTCCCGCAGACGTGGCAGCCGTACGGCTTCTCTCCGGTGTGAATCCGAAGGTGTCGCTCCAGGTGTCCGGCTCGCTCGAAGATCTTCCCGCAGTACGAGCAGATGAAGCACTTCTTGGGCTTCAGGACCCGGATGGAGCCGCACCCCCTCTGGCGGAGGTGGTCCGCCGGGGTCTYTGGGACTCCGTGTAAACCTGGATTGTTTGATACGATGAGGGAGCCTGAGGAAGCCGTGCTGTTTTTCAGCTCTCCRTAGGGTTTTCCTTGGAACGGGAAGCTGCTGCAGGAAGCTTCCACTGGCTGTTGGAGCAACTGAGCGATGGCAGGGAAGGAAGACATGTTCTGCGACGAGCTGCTGAGGAGATCTGAGCTGCTCAGCTCTGGATTCATCTGCAATCCAGACGCCCACATTTGGCCGTCGCCCTCAAACGACGGGAAGTTTTCCCCGAGGCCGTCAGTTTTATTGAGCGTCTGCTTGTTCTCCTCGTGAAGCTGAGGCTGCGTTACGTTTTCCTCGGCAGGCTCGGATTTTACCTGAACGCAGGTCGGCAGGATCTCCTCGGTCCGCGTTCGGTTCTCAGTCTCGGTTGGGCCGGTTTCCTCGGGGCGGTCCGGACACGGGTTCATCTCCAGATTTGGGATTTGTTGGCCCATCTGGACYTCTTCTGGTCGTAACTGCATATCTGACAAAGCAGAAAAATAAATAACTTTTACACACATTCCCTGTTTATATCAATTCTCATTTTTGGAACTGGATCCAACAGTCAACACAGAAAACACAAGAACCTTCCTTAAAGAATGCACCTTCCACTACCTCCAATGATCATCTTACGCTGGCAAATAAAAGTTTTGGTCAAACCTTGAAAGTAACACTATGCACCAAATCAATACTGCAGGATGTCACAGTCAATATGTGTTAGGGATGACTCTCAGCAACTACCATACCTGATTTTAGCACAATAACTGAAATATTGCATGAATTATAGACTTTTTTGTTTCCTAGGGTCAGTTTACATAAATTGAGTTGACTCAAGAAGTTTATCAGTTGCAGATATACGTCCAACGATTAGTGTCTGAGAGGTTCAATAACATTCCTACTGTGGTTCATCAGGAGTTTTACTACCAGACATGAACATACGGCGGGTAAAATAAGTATTGAACATGTCACCATTTTTCTCAGTAAATAAATTACTAGAGCTGCTAATGACTTGAAATTTTCACCAGATGTCGGTAACAACC